GTAGAGAGGTTATCGTCTCTAAGCAAGTTTCACAGCAAATTTCTTCTTTCTTCCTTTTATACATTTCAAGACCAATGTTTAATACGGCAAGCTAACTATGGCACATCTTCAAGACTATAGTATAAGCATCAGGAAATAAATAATTCAGGGACATTCACTAGGCTTGCAATTATCTTGCAAAATGTGTATGCAGACAAGTTGAAATGGGATCCTCCACGTGATAGCGACTGGCAAGGCAGGGTTATGGTAGATGTGGAGGATTATCTGTTTTAACATTGCCACCATTGCTTTCTTCTAAGGTTTTCTCTGTTGATCAGAGGGAGAACTAAAAACTGTACAGCCCAGAATCCCCTTCCGTGAATCAGCCTAGGTTAGAGTTGGCCACAGAGAAGTGCTGCAGTATGATTGGCTCCTAGGGAGGAGGAGGAGCAGGGTAATGCATGGATAACCGCAATGACTGAAACAGTCTCCAGGTAAGCGTGAGAATCCCCGCACAGGTGCTTCAGATAGAGAAAGTCAGTGAAGGACACCCAGGTATTCCTGTGATCTACAGAACTTTCCAGCAAGCTCCTGAGATACACCAGCTCAGAGCTGAGGTTGAGATTCTGGGCGGTGGCACAACCTCTAATTTATTCCAGTAAAACTCTTCATAATTGGAACACACTGAGTGCCTTCTGTTTTCCCTGTCTGAATCCAGACTGACAGGGAGCATTCTCCCTTTTCGTTTTCAAACTTTCTCTGCTCCTGATTTTATTGTTCTGTAATTTAAAAATAAAGAATGGCAGGGAGGGAGTAATACAATTCTTTTGACAGAAGCAGACAAGTAGGATGCTGTAGCTCCTGGCAGCCTTAGCACAGGCTTTGGAAACTCGTCCCACTGACGAACATTTCTGGGCCATGTCTCTCCCTCTACTTGTTCTCCTCTTCCTTCCAGCTCAAGGCCACAGTTAGGTCTACCTACACTTGCTTCATACACACGGATGAAGGATGAAGGTCAGGGGTGACTTGGGAATTAGGGCACAGGGCTTTGATTTTGTTTCTCTTGCCTGTTGTTGAGTTGCTCTATAGTCCCCAGCAATTCTTGATGTCTCCCTCTGTGTAATGGGAATAATATTTGCCCTCCTCACTTTACAGGGTTGTCCTGAAGATGATATAATTTACATTCTAAATAGAAATGTTTTCCCCAAAAGACACAATGTCCTCTACAGATGCGAATTCTTCTTCTAACAGCTACCAGATGAAGAATGGCAATATCTGGCATGCTGAGGCATGTCCTGTACTCGTACATATTTAAAGAGACATTTCTCCAACAAATATTTTAGTGCTTCTCATAACATGACCACCACCAAGGACACAATACATAGATTGCCACTAGGGAACAAATGAGATTACTGACACATTCCACGTCCTCCTCATTCCAAAGATATGGTGCAACCCAGGACAGTGTTCTCAGAGAGAATTCAAGTGGACCATTCTAAATCCATGTGTGTACCACAATCCATATCTTACTGAGAGTCTGACCCCTTCCTTGAGAGTTTCTGTTCTAGTAAAATAATTCCATCAGTTATTTCAATTGATCCTATTCCCTTCCTTACCATCAAACCACCAGTGCTTGAAACATTAAAATAATCAACTATTTAGAAGTTAGGCTTTGTGACTAAATGCTCTCTGGCAATGAAACAACACATATGACATCCATCCCTGATGGTCTGGGTTTATGAAAGGAACAGAATTGAGTTCTGAGGTCCACACAGCTAGACCTTTCCCTTTAGTGTGTCCACCCCCAAAGGAAGCAGGGTCTTCTTTTTCGCCTGCAATCAAGTTACCTTGCAGAGGTAAGTTACTCACCCTTCCCCTGGGTTTTTTATTACTCAGCGTTTACTGAAAAATATATATGGAGCTTCATTTAGGTGGGAGGTCCTGTGCCGGGCATTGCAGATAAAGTGGTGAACATATGTAATCTCAACCACTCTTCACAACAGCTTATGGCCTATCTAGGAAGATAGTCCCTGAATGGGGAACAATGGCCTAATACAACAGTGTAGGGGGATCAGAGAAGTTTCCTTTGGAGTTATGATATTTAAGCTGATACCTGAAGAATAGAGTCAGTGATGTCAAAAAGAAGATGAGGCTGGGCATGGTGGCTCATACCTGTAATCCCAGCACTTTGGGAAGCAGAGGCAGACAGATCACAAGGTCAAGAGATCGAGACCATCCTGGCCAACATGGTGAAACCCCCGTCTCTACTAAAAAAAATTACAAAAATTAGCTGGGCATGGTGGTGCACACCTGTAGTCCCAGCTACTTGGGAGGCTGAGGCAGGAGAATCACTTGAACCCAGAAGGCAGAGGTTGCAGTGAGGCAAGATTGCACCATTGCCCTCCCATCTGAATGACAGGAGAAGACTGTCTCAAAAAAGAAAAACAAAAAGATGATGAACTGGACTTACTGCTGCCTCTCAGGGAGTATTCACTTGTGAGGAGTTTAAGGCACACATAACCTGACCTCTATCACACAAAGCAGAATATGAACAACTGCTCTAAGAGATAGAAACAAATATCATTAATACCTATAGAAAGAAGAAAATCAACCTAACTCAGGTCAGTAAAAGCTTCATGCAGGAATAAAGTACTGCATGTTACTAATTCCTGTGATGTGCAGATTATCTACAAGTTACAGATGGAGAAATTTAGTCCTAGGTCTCCTGATCAGTATTCTAAGCCCAGACCTTCTTTGCATTTGAATCTACAGTTTCTAGGACACGAATCTTGGGCCTATCATACTCGACATTGGAAGTTACATAAAAGGACAAGTAAAGGGAAAATGGCATGTCCAGAAAAATAGCAATTTGCACATGAACTACTGCCCGCCAGTTTTTGTAGTTGTTGGTGCGGAAGGAAAAGAGATTGGGAACTGGATGAATAAAAAATTATTTGCAAATAGAACTTCCAGTGAGGATTTTATAGACAAAAGTTTCACACATCATGGAGGATTTCCGTTGGGAAAGAGTTGAGGTGATTTGTCCTTACACCGTGAAAGGCCCTCTTGTGCATAAATGTTTGCAAGTTGTTGGCATGAAGGTATTAACAAACGACAAATCGTTTCATGATTTATATGATCAGAAACTTGAAATAATTACCTTAAATATTTTTTAAAAAATGAGATAGTCTTAAGTGGTTTCGTGTTAGTGCCAAAAAATAATGGCTTTCCCATTTGGAGAAAGCCAAGCTGGTTCAAGCCAAATTGGTTTATGCCAAGCTCAAATATATGAGGCTCACCTTTCTCCTATGTACATCAGTCCAACAATAATCCAGCTTTGATGAACTTCTTTGGTCCTCTTTATTGGTCTCCTTATGGCCCTCAGCCCAAAGAACATCATTTTATGATGTGGACTTGCTTTTCTCAACCAACCACGTCAGCACTGATTGGGCAACCAATGCGTCAAATATGTAGGAATTTTCTTCAGTAAAACTGAGACATCTGTTGTTGGCTCCCTTTAAATAATGTTTTTACATTTCTCTCATTGATGTTAGGCCCTGATGTCATCCAATAGCACTTATGTGAACTCTAACTATTTTAGGCATTTTTCCATATTCCAAATGTTATTCCAAATACCTTAAAACTATATTGCTTTAAAAAATCTGTTAAAAATGACAGATAATATTTGCTCTATTCCTAATAATTATCATTTATCTGATCTTATCTCCCCATTTTGAAAGCTCAATTTCATGTCCAGATAAACTTTACAAGTGGCTGTGATGTTTCTGAGACTTTGGTTTCTATGAAACTTATTCAATAGACTACAAAGTAAAATTACCCTTATTCAAATACAAGAAACCCCTATTAAAATACAAATAAATAAACACATGAGGATATGATGCTCATTTAAGGGTTAATTTGTTGCTCCATCTAGATGTGGTGTTATTTTAGGGAAATTCCCCAAAAACGGTCTCCAAAGGGAAATATGCTCAAGACCTTCAAAAGGACATTCAGTGAAAAAGACCTGTTCATGCCCCTAAAACATAGCAGGTTGGCAGCTGCTTATTTCCCTGACTTTGAGCAAAATTGATTTTTTCGCAAAATTAACTAAGGCATATTTAAATGTAGAAAAGTTCTATTGATGCCCAGACACCAAACAGGCAACACAGGTCCAAGCCACAGACACCGAAAATCCTGCAGTACTCTCTTGTTCTTTTCCTGCCGATTACAAGTATCCCATTTGCCCAGAGCCCAGATGGTGACTCGGAGGGTCAGATTCACTGCTTTCTGAGCATCTCCACAGCCTGTTCTTCCACCTGCACATCCTGCAGTGCTGCTGGGATAGTCCCTGTTCAGTTTCCCCTTTACATGTGTAAGTGGAATTTCCTTCTTGGGGAAACAATATTTCAACAGCCAGCTTAGGGATAAGACATTTTCAAGTGATATTTCATGTCAGTGTACCGTCTGCTTTTGAAGCTGAAGACTCTAGAGACAGCAGCAGACATTCAAGGCTTTGGAAAAACTGAGTAAACCAAATTCATGTTTTGAGAACAAGAGAATTCAGCAAAAACTGCACATGGATTCTCTCAATGTTGCCAGGGAAATTGGAATTCCTTTTAGTTATAATGTAGAGTTCACTCATTTTGAAATTACATATGTCAATTGTTATATTCTCAAACAATGATACTTTTATAAATATTAGTGAGTTTCCCTATTTCTCCCCATCACTAATACTAAAGTGAATATCTCCTTGGTAATTTCAAAGTAATCTCTTTAAAGAAAAAAAAATTATAAAATTATATTATACCGTAGATTTATTTGCCTCCCGGGTAGAATGCCACTAAATTCTGTTTAATACGGGTTAAAATCACTATGTGTGACAGGTATGGTTTTCTCATCACGGACTTAAAAATCACTGTGTTCTTTCTAAAGTGCCGAGGCAGCAGTAATGAGCCAGAGCTCTGCACAGCCAAGTGTCCCTCCCTGCATCCACTGAGAGCAATAAAAAGCTGAGTTCCAACCTCGGTGACTGGTGAGTTCCCTGGAAGCAGAAGGCAAGGGCGTGTAGTGGCGCTCAGGGGAGCTGGCAAAGTCCTCACTGGAAACCTGTGTGACAAAAGCAAAGTCAACATGAAGCAATACCAAATATCAAAACCCTCATTTACCAGACCTGTCTCCTTGGGATCTGAGCTTGAAGAAATTATTATCTGCCAAGATACTTCTTAGGAAGCAAGAATTGTCTTTGTTGAGATAATATTCTGGTAAGTGTTGGGTAAGATCCAAAGCTTTGAAGGGCCTCAGTACATGTGGAATAGCTCTGAGGAAAGAGGGAAGTTTGTTTATGTGCTGAAATGAAAGGAGAAGGAGGAAGAAAAAGAGAGAGGTGGAAGGCAGGAAAAGTTAGAGACCTAGATTTCTACCAGGCCTTCACCCAGTTATTCCCACAAAGTAAACACTGGATATGGGCAGATTTCTATGTTAACTAGTGAAGAGGCTAAGCTCTGCCCCCAGGATAAATGGGGAAAACCAGGGCTGACCTCTATGAGCCCAGTGGCATGAAAGACTGGGCAGGATGAAGTCAGCACAGGAAAGGATATAAATTGTCTCGCCATATGCAATGGGGATTCTGGCTCAGTGTAGCAACAGCAATGAGAAATACGTCTGAAATTTGGGATGGTTTGGGATGGTGGTTTGGGATGTAGTGGTTATCAACAAATTTGTCACTCCAAGGCCTAAAAGAAAATCATTTAAGATACATTTAAGATGATACTTTTTCACTGTCTGCAGACCACGCTTTAACTATAGAACTGTGTCTGAGATGGCACAGGCTGCTAAAACTCACTCTTCAGAACCCAACATGCTTGTGAGTTAAGCTAGAAGGAAGTATTTCAGCTTGAGGTCAGCTATCACTCAGAACCAATGGCCAGCATGCCACACTCACGGTGTGTTTGCTAGTAGCAAGAAGCAACTCTTAACTAACATTTCCAAATCAAATGCAGCTTTTTTTTAAATATCCCAACAAGAACATCTGCTAGGATCAAAATCTAAAGCTTACAATCTTTCCAAGCTTCATGAAAAAGTAAATTTCATTAATGATATATTTTTCTTTCCGGAATAGGAAATACATTCTATGGGATATATTTGCCCTCCTAAAAGTAGGCCTTTTCTCCAAAGAGATTACCTATATTACAGGAATCAAACTAAGTAGGAGATTAGACCTACTTGCTAGAAAAACCCTTTAAATTTCATTTCTGACATTTGCGACGTCTGACTAAGCGGCTTTCAGTGGAGACTTAACAGCAAGAGGGCGACTGGAGCAAAATCAGAAGCTCCGTCCCTAGGTAGAAAGAGTTTTCAGGTAGCATTGCTTCACTCCAGCTCTGAGGCAAATATATGGTGTTTAAATTTGGATCCAAGGCTACTGGGTCCAGAAAAATAAAAGCTTAGCCATCAAGAAAAACATGTTTTGAAGTAGGTAAGACTTTTCTACTTTTTAGCATATTGCAAGAATGTGGAGTCCAAAATTAGATTTAAAAAATCAAATACTATAGTCACCAAGTGTCTCTCTATTGGGTAGTCAAGGTCTCCTGTAATTTCTATATAATGAATGAAACATGACGACAGTGTCCTAAATATGGCATCTATTTAATGCTTGAGGCAGGACACATGGGGTGAGGGTTACAGGGGTCATCATCCCTAGATGTAGCATACTTCCTCCATAGGAGGCCATAGTTGTCAATATGTCTGCTCCAACTCGTTGCAAAAAAAAAAAAAAAATCAATATGCGTTTTAGTTTGTTGTGTTGTGATATTTCTTAGAACTTTTAATCTCGATTTGGGCTGTTGACAATTTGATAACAGCTTTTTCCTACAATTACTGGAACAAATCCTACCTTTCATGAAACACCTCTGACTGTGCTACACATTAGAATCCTGTAGCCAAGCGTAAAAGAGATGTTTGGTTGTGTTTTGTATTGCAGGTAGAGCGAAAATGGTGTGGCTTCTGTTGTTTTGCAGTCTTCATTCTATGACCAGCACTTAATTACTTTCCTGCTCAGTGTCCATTGATAAACTCACATCATGAAAAATAATCCAAGAAACCATGATTTTGCAAACTATGCCTTTTGATGGGACTTCTTTGGCTGGATGTCTAGGAAAACAACTACAAACCAGGGTTCCAACTACCAGTTCTCTGATGTGGCTTTTCTCAAAATCAAGTCCATGTGATTCTGTCAAGAGTGATGTTCACACTGGTTCTCTGAACCTTAGGATTAGAAGCATGATTCAGAAAGACACAATTATCATATGAAATAAGTGGACAAGAAAATGTCTTAAATTTGTACTCTATGTGCCAAAGAATAAAGAACTCACCTTGAAACTGGGGCGGTTTACCTACTGTATATTGAGTATGCAGTAATGGGAAATGTAAATAATATTTTCTTTTACCTGGATTAAAAGATACGCCTAACATGAAAAAAAGCAAATTTGAGTAAATCTGAATCTTCAGGGCTATAAATACTCTCCAATTTTGAATCCTTGGCAAATTTGTTGTTGTTGTTGTTGAGACAGAATCTCACTCTGTGCCCAGGCTGGAGTGCAGAGGCACAATCTCAACTCACTGCAACCTCTGCCTCCCAGTTCAAGCAATTCTCATGCCTCAACCTCCCAAGTAGCTGGGATTTACAGGCACGTGCCATCATGTCCAGTTAATTTTTGCATTTTTAGTAGAAATGGGGTTTTACCACGTTGCCAAGGCTGGTCTCAAACTCCCAGTCGCAGGTGATCCACCTGCCTCAGCCTCCAAAAGTGTTGGGATTACGAGCATGAGCAACTGCACCTGGCCCTTGCTATCTTTTCTAAATGCCTATGGCAAAGAATTAGAGTTTTACATTTTAATTTTTAAATTCTCCTGTTAGGAAATATTTGCACATCTACAATAAATAATTAGTATCCAAAATAAAAAAGAATGTCTTTAAATCAATAGAAAATATAATAGAAAAACAGACAAAGGAAATGTCTGGAAATTCAAAGATGAGAAAACCTGAACGGTCAATAAACATAAGAGAAGTTGCTGAAATTTCCTAGGACGAACGGCAATAGGAATTAAAACAAGGAATGATTTTCCCACTCATCATACTGAAAAACTTTTAAGTCTTACAATAGCAAGAACTAGTGAGAACAAAGGAAAAGGATGTTATCGTCTCATTCCTTGCTAGTGGGAATGTACATTGGTTCAACTACTTTGAATCATCATTTAGCAATATCTAATAAAACTGAAAATTGGTGCAGCAATTTCATTTAAAATATGTAACTCTAGGGAAAATCTCACACAGGTCTGCAAGTTGTGACATAAAACTGTTTATTGCAGCATTATTTATAACAGAAGAAATTGGAATTAACTCAAATGTCTATCGATGAGGAAAATAAAATGTTGTATATCAATAAGATAGAATAATATTCAGTATTTAAGAGAAACAAACCTGATTTCTGTATCTCAATTCAAATAGGTTTAAAAATGTAACACAGAGTGAAAATGCAAGTCGCAAAATGATAAACGTAATATTTATGGAAATATAAAGTTTACTGAACTCATGTATGTATAAAAACATCTAAAGATTATTAAAAATATACACTAAATTCATTAAAACAGTTGCTTCAGCCAGAGGGCAGTATAGTAGGTCTGGGGCTGGTGGGATATGGGGAGAAAAGAACTTCAGCTTTATATATGATGTTCTTCCTTTCATTTAAAGAAGACTTAAAACAAACATCAAAATATTAGCAACCACAGATTCTGGATGATCTCTGCATGTGTTCATTACTTTTTAAACTTTTCTACATTTTTGAAACTTCTCAGACCTAAGCTTGAATTTTTTTTTAAACACCAAAAGGCCCTATTTCTTTTCTAATCCATGCAGTCCTATGTTGACATGAACCCATAATGAGAGCAAATTTCCTCTAACAATTCTCTAGTACTTGTACAACATGGATTAATGCCATTTCCGATTGGCTTTTTGCGATGAACTATCCCATTTGTTTCTTCTAGAGCTACTGAGAGTGAGCTCTAGAATAGATAAAAGCAGATGATGGTAAATATATATCCCCTGCCCCCAAGTCTTGAAATAGTCATTCTGGCCTTACAAGTCCTTCTGCTGAAGATACATCAAAGCATTCTGAAGGTTACTTGATTCTTCTCCTGCTCACAATCAAAGAGTCACTGATAATTTTTAAAACCCACATCAATAAAGGTAATAGCCACTAATATACTGCACTCTGCAATTTCCATAATGGAAGGAAGGAAGGTGGAACTTTGGCAACCTCCTTGGAAAAGATTCAAGACACGCACAGTGAATTCTGCAACAGACTTGCAAAGCGAGAGTTTCACTTGGTGATTACAGAAACTGATAAATGTGTAAAATTCAAGCCCCTTTCCAATGGGTGCATTCAATGAAAAACTGCAGTCCGGTGGATATTTCTGAATGTCACGGATGCACTGAAAGAACATGATACAGACCACAGGAGGAGAGATTTGGCAGACTTCGAAACAAGAAGGGGGCAGCTACAAAGTTGTTTAATAGCCATAAATCTCCCACTATTTTTCACAAAATACCATCTAAGACCACAGCTCCACAACTCATTCCCCATCACTCAGCTCAAGTGGAGCGCTCTGGCATGCTCATTCACCCTTAAATCATACACCACAGAAAGTGATCCCAGGCCTGGGAAATATGTCAGCCTCTTTCAAGCAAAAGCAATCTTCACTTTTCATCACAATTCATTCCCTGAAACCATGGAATAAAGCTGACTCTTCTAAAAACATTTATTTTCTCTCATAAAAAAAAGCATCACTCATTTAGTTATCAAATATTTAATAACCACCTACTATATGCCAGGCCCTTTGCTGAGAATACCAAGAAAAATAAAAAGAGAACATTGGTTGCATTCCTGGCTTATAAAAAAAATCACACTATGATTAATACTGGTTATGAAGAACCACCAACTCAGCATGCCCCTCACAATCCCATATTCTGCATCATCACAGAATGTTGTCTACGACCTTGATTATGACATCTAAGCACCTGTAACAGTAGTTACATACTTACTCAGTTC